ATGAGGTGCAAATATTACTATTTGCAAAATCGTGTCTCAAATGCCGCCGCCAGAATAACCTGAGTATAGCTTGTAAAGCATGTATGTCGGTCAGCATGTGTTATAGGCACATATCGATGGCACCTGTGCATAGCTGCACGGACCTACGGCTTTGTGCAAAACTGGATATCAACAGCATCTCAATAAATGAAAAGTTTATACCAAAGCCAGTAGAACTTCTAAATTATTCATATCCAAGCGACATGAAAGAATATATTCAACAGAGTTTAGGACGTAGCAGAGATTTTAATACTTGGAGCTATGCTGATTTTTTATATACTAATTACTTCTCAAGACCATTGACGTTGTTATTTAACATAACGACGAGAACAGATATATACAAACTGACATCTCCTACAACCTTTACGATTCACGTTATAGCCGGAATCTTCACGGATGAAAATAGTCTATTGGCTTGGGAATTCTTTATACATCAAATGCTTCCGGATTCATCGTTAGCAATTCTAATTATAGGGCCTAAAGTAAAAGAATATATTTATAATATAGAGCTTTGTGATACTTGCTTCTCTCAAAACAAAAAACTTTACTTTGCTTATATTCCTATGACGTATAAACGTTTTATATGCGCTGAGACATATAAAAACTTGGAACCAAATATAATTATGGGATTTGATATAGATTTTGAGAATGATGAAGCGGCTATCAGAGCAGCAATGTGTCTGAGCACACCGTTAGTTTTGACCTGCAAATCAGAAAGTAAGGCGCAAGAGACTGTCACGAAAATAAAGGCAAAATTGCGCAAAAAGCCTATCATTCATGAGAGGAATATGTTCGCATCTTGTAGACCATATAGAGATGCTGAAAGTGATTCTGTGTTCTTTCCTCATCACTATGTAATTATTTATGATAATGAACCTAACAGAAATAAAAAATTAGATGTTTCTAGTAATGACAATCAACCCAGTACTAGTAACCAGTACTAGTACCAGTAACTTATTTGAAGGATAATTATATCGTTACACTTATCATATCATGATGCACGATATACAAGGTAGAAGTCTTTTATAAGTTTATTTTTGTTCTTGATTCTTTTATATTTTCTTTTCTAAGCATACTGTGCACACGTAAAGATTGTAATTATATTGCTTTTCTTTTAATGCTTTCCTTATAAAAATGTTGGGCGCGTCTTTAATGTCTATTATGTAGTATACTGAATATAATGAATATATTTTCAAAAGTACTTAATAATACGGACTGACATCCACATATACTTACACACATATATACATGCGCATGTCGATATGTGTGCGAAAAGATAAAGAGCTGATAGAATTTTCATTGTGTTACATAATTGTTTTTTAATTGTAGAGAGATCCACATCGAATACTGCATCGAACGAAACGCACGAACATATCCGTCAATATGTAAAACAGCTGAGAATATTGCAACATGTAAGTTCTTGTGATATAATGCAAAATGGACTAACTTTAAACATGACAAAGTCAAAGTTATACGTTACAAGTTATTTATGAGCTATGAGTTTTTTATGTTTAGTGATCCGGGAGTGTACGAAATCAAATGTCCTTATTTGCAAAATCGTGTATTATTTGTCGTTGATCTAACTGCATGACTTAGTCATCTAAAATCTCTCTATTACACCTATTCCAATAAGGATAATTTAGTAATATAGTAGATTATAAATTGATGTAGAGATAAGATATTATATGTATATGTGTATATACATATAGTTTTCATCGTATATAGTTGTAAATTATGTAGCATATCATATATGGTTGAAAAGCTTCCGGATGCTAGAATATTTGTGAATATTTTATTAGTGGCAATCGCTAAATCAACATCCGTATTGAATGTCAATTGTCATACATATGAATATAAATATAAATGTTTTGAATGTTTGTTTCTTCCGCACGCTGTTCTAAATTGATATTACAAAATATCTCTCGCTTTCAAACGTTAGTAATGCGTACAATTTTTAGATATTATGTCGATATTTGGACTGTCTACAGAACAATTTTTGTCTGTGCAATGTAATAAATTTCTCTATCCCAACGTTGGCCACATATGCATATCTTTATAAGCTTTCACAAGTATTTTCGGTGTAGTATGATTTCATATTACAATAAGGAGCACAGATTAATGCGTACGGGACATATCGAAGTTTGTATAACAAGATTATAATAATGTTAAATACGTAGTGGAATGTATAAAACTCGCGTAATATGACGTTGAAAAAGTTGACTATATCTAAAAGATGTATCATAAAAAAAAAATTTTAACTTGGTCTGCAGTCGTGCGAAGAACAAATGTTTTTATTTGCAAAATTATGCCATATTTGCCATCAGCAGAATAATTTGAAAATATTGTATTTTTATCGACGTGTATTCAGTTCACTTTTTAATTGATTACGAACATTGTTCCTTTCCTTTTCGACTTTGCTCGGACCTGAACATCCACAATGTTTTCACGTATGAAAACAATAGAAACATTCCCGAAAATCTTCTGAGTATAAGTACCCGAGATGTATATGATATGCAATATTTTAACTAATGGTTTTTAACGTGATAGAAACATATTTTCATGATTATGTGATTATTATGAATATTTTAAATACTTTTCTATAATGTCGACATAGTTTAATAAAATTTTACAAATCAATTTATTACATGTCCTGCTACCTCCACATAACTTTTTTACCGTTTGTCTTATATTTTCCGGAAGTTTTATACATGTACATAGTTTAGTAGCTTGGAAAATCATTTATATGAACTCCATCCAAATACAAAGCTGTTAATTTTAATAATAATAGGACCAGAATTATCAGGAAATTATCATATTATGCAGATTTGTGTCAGGTGCATTCACGGTAAAAAAAAACTTTAGTGTATCATCGAATGTTGGATCACAATTTTGCAATCGAACTGCGTATGCAACTTAATGTGATTATTGTATTTAACGTAAAATTTAGGAATCACATAATATTAACACGAACTTTAACAGCGATACAGTGAAAGGTACCTGTTAATTATATCGTCGCTAAGTCAAGCGAGTAAAGATATAATATCTATACGAGGAATACTATGTTCACAAATATCACTCTTTGTTAATGAAAACAATAAATTCCCATCTTTTAAAACACGCAGAAACCATGAGGATGATTGTGTATTTTTTTATAACCCGCATTTAATTTTCTATCAGGACATAAAAATTCTGAGTGATTCATGGCAGCAATAATCTTAATGTGTGTAATATCAACTAGAATTGTAAGAAAATTTATGTATAAAAGTATCACCATGTGTCTCTCTCTCTCAGTGGTGTTTTGGTAAACTCAAGTTTGTATCTACAATGTCCACAATGAGAATATAAGCCATAAGACCTAATCTTTAAGCCTTAAGCTGTAAGAAATTGATCAATCGCTGTCAAATATGAGAAAAATAATTGCGTGTAATTAGTCAATTTCTTACGATTTAAAGCTTAAAGCTTAAGTCTTAAGACTTAAGTTTATATATTTATAAATCAGATATATGTATTTTCAGCTTCATATACATTATCAGACACAATATGTATAAAATAATACTTATGTTATTCGTATCCGAAAAAATTATAATCCATAACATACAGATAGTTGATTAATTGTTTCACACTTTACATAAATAATCGTCGATGAATTTTGTCTTAACTTGAACATTTACATGATATACGTCATAGTATATACAATAATTGAAATATTATTATATATCTCTCTGTTATCGAAAATTTGAGTACGGAAATAGTGCGTGATAACGAATATTCATATTTTGTTACCGTTTTCAATTCAAATTGTATTGCATGAAAATTATTAGAGTAAACAGGTACACTTATAAACATTTTATTAGTATTTTTCAAATAGTCGTCGAATCAACATTTATAATGAATATATAATTTTCTTGCGTATATAAGGCTACGAGTTTCGCGCATTGTGTTTCTAAAAACCGACGTTATAAATAAAACAATTTTAAATATCAGTGATATAAATCTATCAATTATATGCTCATTTACGCAGATTTTACATTATGGGACAAAATGGAGCGCCTAACTTACGACATCCAGTTTTACGCTATAACTATTTTTTCCATTTTAATCTTTGTCACGTTTGCAAGTCGAAAGATCAGAATATGGTAAACATTTGTCTTCAATGCTGCATGATTTCTTATTGTAGCAAGGAGCACAGATTGTTACATCTAGATAAACAACACAAGGTTATCTGCAAGGCTATACAAAATGTTATTAAGATGAGAAGTATATATATAACAATTGTAACATGAAGTTGGAGGAATGGGACAACTTTAAAAGGAAGAATATATGCTACTTACGAAAAATGTGTTACGTCAAAACCCATACAGCACAAAATCTCCTGGGGACGTCCCATAGATGTCCTGAGGACGTATAAACGTCCCCAGGATGTTCTCAGGACGCACTCTTGAATATTTGTGCTGTTAGGCGACCTACAATCGTACAAACAGCAAATGTTCTTATTACCAAAATTATGTTTCTTTCGTTACTTGCTGACGTTTATTTGTGGGACGTTTATAGCGTGAGAAAAAGAATTTTCTGGATTTTTAATGATTACATCTATACAGATTTTTCGGGCCGCTTATCCTGATTTATAGAATGCAACGGGTGAGGTTGTTATACCATTAACTGATAACTGGTCAGTTCATCGTTCACGTTGTAGCCGGAAACTTCATGGATACCCGCAAACTATCAGCTAAGGAAGTTCTTTTACACGTACTCCTTCAACATATGCTAATAGATGTAATAATGGGACCAACGTTACTGAATAGAAGTCTAGCCTGGAGATGTTGTTTGAATTGTAGAGAAAATTCAAAAGAACTTGAATTAGAATATCGCCGTATATTATGCTCAATCAACTGTATCCATAATGTGTTTGATGGAACACCAGATATCATTATAGGATTTAACGTAGACCTAAGAATTAATAAAATATGCTTAAAAAGCGTGAAAGCATAATGTCGTCAAAGCCGCCTCTTAATTCTTACAGACAAGTCAAAAGTGGACAGTAACACAAAGTGAATCCAAAAATTGCTGGACCAATATGTAGTACCTTCTGTTATAAGAAATAAATTTGCGTCTCTAGACCACACAGAGACTATAAGCATGATTCTATACTTTATCCTGATCAACATATAACTATCTATTGTAAATTTAATAACACAGGCCCATAATTTAAAATAAGTTGTCTGTGCTGGGAGTCTGACTAGATGTACTGTACGTATTTTGGGCTGTTGAATCCAAATCCGGTGTCAGATTTGCTCCATCACCCTTGGGTTTCCCGGAAAATCGAGGAAATCGTGAAAAGGAGCAGATATCCAGGTTTTTACGGAGACATGTATTCAAGAAAAATTCTAAAGTGACGAATAACCCCATAACCCCACAACCAACGTTGAAAATACATTATGTACTTCAACATGGAAAACGAATCATTCTACACATTCCCTTACGGGGCAGTTGTCATCGTCTCCAACATCCTCTGAAGTAGCAGGATTTATCTGATCGACGATTATATCGTTATAATACAAACATCAAAGGCCCAATTTAAAACCTGTGTTGGAAGTATTGGTTGCATTGTAAATTAAAGTCAAGGAAAATTATTGTTTATCGTCCTACATTTTATCAGTTATAAAATGCTTATGTGTCTGAATGTTATTATAAGAGATGACATAGATTTTATTTATGTATATACATATATATATACACACATATATATATATAATAAATAAATAAATGTCTATATATATAGATATCTATATATATCTATATAATATACACACACACACACACACACACACACAC